CGAAAATAGTAACACCTGATTCTAACGTAGAAACATCTGATTGATCAGTTCTCTTTTCGTTTCGAGTGGTTACCTTTTGCGAAAATTGTAAAGCATGTTAGGTGTCGAAGCGTGCTGGTTATCCTCTGAGACCAGAATTTGTCGAAAGTTTGTACTATGTTTATCGAGCTACAAAAGATCCTTTGCTACTAGAGATTGCTGCTGAAGTGGTCGACGTATGTTGTTTTCTATTATTTATTCAATTGACTAGAGTAATCCTAAGTTTCATTCAGTGTCTGTTCTGCCAATCATAGTGTGGTTAGGTTTGAGTGCAACCGTTTCAATTAAATCGTAAAATTCTAACAATGCTTAGTCCTTACTAATTAAAAAAGCCAAGAGATAACTTGCATTACCGCCGAAGAATGCAATACAATACCATATTTTTTGCAGTATAATACCACATGGTAACATATCTGTGCGGTTCAGGCTACAGAGATTTTTTACAACGAAGTGTGAAATTAATGGAACTAAATTCTCCATATACAACGAAACACTAATATGTTTTGTCACATATCAATCATTAATCAACCAGTCATGTTCTACTGAAATAATTTATTCATCTAGTCGGTAGATCAACTATAAAGGAGATTTCAGCAGTTTAACGTTAATTTACTAATTTTAGGCTATTGAATACAGCTGCCGCACGAAATGTGGTTACGCTACAGTCGTAAATGCCAAATATCACTCAGTTGAAGACAGGTTTTATTCCTTACACTTTCTTGCAATTGCGTTTTTCTCATTGATGATATGGTCCATTGGTAACAAAAATTTTCATAAGTAATTTCTTTGAATAACAGGATGGAATCATTTTTTCTTTCGGAAACTACAAAATATCTTTATTTGCTCTTCGATCCAGACAATTTCATCAATGCTGATGGAACCATCGCACGTATTGTTGAAACACCGAACGGACAATGCATCATCGATAGTGAGTTTTGTATTTGTAAGGATGCTCTTCGAGTCACTTATCGTTAATTTCCCTTTTTTTTTTTATTTGCTATTATCGTTAATTTCCTTTTTTTTTTTATTTGCTAATTTTAAAATCTAATTGCAATATTTTTAAACCAGTTATACATTCGCATACAGAAAACATTGTTCACTTCTAGCTGGTGGCTATATATTTAACACGGAAGCGCATCCCCTCGATCCAGCAGTCGTTTATTGTTGCAGTGCAAAACGTAACAACGATTTGGAAATGATAGCGCGATTCGAAAATAACATCGATCTTGTTGCACTTGCGGGGATTTTTGATGAAACATTGCATCCTTTTGGAAGGAGTTTAGATATTGTAAGTGACTTTCCAGCTTGTTGTGAAGTTGTGAATTAGTATTTTGGATAACTGGGGATTGTTGTGGATTAATTAATTTTCATATATTTTATTGGATATTTTGTGCTTCGCACGGTTCATTATTCCGCCTACTTGAATATTTTTCGCAGATGGTTTGCTTAATTAACAAGCGATTTAATAATAAATGGAAAACAAATTGACAGTTAGCAGATAATTAGCAAGTAATTTTCTACTACTGTATTTAAAGATTAAAATTTACGGTTTACTTTCTCATCTAATACAGCGAAGGTTTGATGGTTGTTTTTTGGGTTCATCAACCTTATAAGTTTCATGTATTGTTTATTCACTTTTAATTGAATGTACAATCAAGAAAACTTTTAGGAAAATGTGGAAAGTCATCAATATGATCTCCAGAATACCAAGAAGGGCGAGAATTTGCTTAAACAGCTATCTGTAACAAATCCTTGGTTGTACGATCACATTACTATATATGATGATCGTTGTTCAGTGAGAACTATTTTATTGCTCATGAAATCGTGTCTTACGCCGTATTTGTGTCAAACATAGCATAAATTGTTGGTGATTAACATGAAACAAAATTCATAGTTTAAGGAAGAAATGAAAGATATAAGAAAACCATCAAACCACTGACAGACAATACTTATAAGGTTTTTATAAGGTTTTCGGCATTAAACGTTATTGAGTTGTGTATCTATCTTAAGTGATGGATGGACACGAAGTAGAGTTACTGTTAGTCTAAACGTGCATAAAATGTTATATAAGATTTCAGAATTGCTGTTGGCCTACGGATTTCAACATTGAAAATGTACCATTCCGTCGTTTCTTAAATGTGGTGTTTGCCAAACATATTTATCCAGCAACGGGTGTTCAATTCATGGTTGGATTAATTTGTTTGTTGAACAATGACACTCTTCTCAAAGCTTTACATGATGATTGGCCACGTAAGTTTTTGTTGAATTCCGTATATTATTTTAAGATGATATCTCAAGAGTCAAAGTGAATGTAAAATTTTCTTCCAGAATTACGATTTTCAAAATCTTCTATACAAAACTCTCACTATTTCTGATTGTAGATGTACGTGAATTGGATGTCACCCAGAAGTTTAGTTCTGTTGATGAAATACGTTTCAACAAATTCCGTTATCGAAGTATGGCTGAAGTAGGCTACGATGTGCTTCTTACACCGCCACTTTCTTACCTTTCAAGGTTTACTGGGTTAGGACAGGTGAAACCCAAACCTGGTGATGTACGATAGTAATGGTTATTTCGTACCATACTTTTGTTACTTGCCTACTTAACCATTCCAAATCATGGACGACATTTTATGATAATTATCCCGTTTATTGCCTTATACCTATACCACTTAAAACGGATCACTCTGTCTCATTTCTCAATTATTTTCCTCGTTTCTTACAACATTACTTATTTTGGCCATCAGAATTACATGTCCTTTCATATTTCAACGGTGGTTTTAATTCAACAGAGCTCTTCACATTAAAATTTCGGGTGCTTTGGTTAATTTATTATTGGTATTAATTGTTATTCTTTATTTTATTATTTTTTCTTATAATGCAAATAAAACATAGCATGTTATTTGATCTTGATGTTGCAGCGTCTTGTCTTGCTTTGTTTGCCTTCAGGAATTAATTTATTAAGTTCTTTCAACTTTTAAAATTCTGGAATATTTCCGACTTTTGATTCCTTATGAAATTTAATTTTATTGTCGTTCTTTTTTATCAATGGCTTTATATGCAGAGCAGTAAATTTCTTTTTCATTGTGTCGTTCTAGTAATGCAATGTTTGCAATTATGGGCAACGTTTTCATTCCATATTAATTTCCTTTCAAAAACGATGGTATGTTCTTAAGAACTGTGTATATGTTTGCATACGTTGCAATCTTTTTTTTTCCTAAATTTTTACCACATTTGGAATCTATGTGGTATGTGTTTATTTATTTTCATATTCCTTAAATTTTTCCTTTCTTGCATGAAATAAAAGTCAGCGATTGCACATTTACGGCTTTTCGTTCTTCATCTTGAGTTTACATGAACCATGTGAGCTGTTCATTCTTCACCACTGGAAGGACTTAAGTTTTAATTTTTTGATATTCAAAATTACCTATCTGATTATAAATTTAAAGATGCAATTATTATGTGGTCGAAATATTATGTAGTCCTTTCTTTTATATCTACCTCGACATTGCGTAACAACCTAAATGACTGTTTTCTAGATGGGTGAATGATGCCACGACCTAAGTTGTTTCTGCTGTTGCGTGCTAAGGCTTTTTTCACTGTCCGACGTTGGTCTGTTAATGACTTTACGCTTCGTACGCATACCTGTGGAGAGCTACGTGTAGGACATGAAAGTTTGTTTACTCATTTTTCATTCATGGAAATCCTTTGTTTCGAAAGTTCTGTCAGATCTTACTGCGTGTTTGTATTTTAAATCTTTAAGTCCTTCGTTTGTCTTCTCACACTTAAAATGGGTTTTGGGAGAACCTCGCAAGCAACGTCTCGACCAGTATCTCAGTCATCTGTTTTGCTTTCTTAACCCTGGCAGGCGAATGAGATTTACTTTGTTATAACCGATGTCCAAACATTATTCAGACCAAGAAGTTACTTTGTATGGATGGTTGCAATTCAGTCGCTTGAATCGTTTTCTCGTTTTGCGAGATGCTTATGGTTGCGTGCAGGCCAGAATTCCGGAAGAAAGAAAGGATTTAGTCGAGAAAATCAGAATAGTCAACTGCGAATCTGTTTTAAAAATTGAAGGAGTAGTAGTAGATAGAGGTGAACAATATCGCAATGCAGATATGCGAACAGGAGATATTGAGGTAGATCTTTCTTTCTAAAAAAAGGAGAAATTGCAAACAATAAAGTTATTAGTTTCATCTATAAGAGATTTGAAATCGTGTGCTTTCCATTCCTTCAATGTTTTGGTTTTTGATTCATTCCAAACGAATAATTCGAAGCAGTTGCATATGATATTCTATATTAGGAAATTTCGTTGGAACTGGAAACTTTTGCAGGTTCTGGTGAATAATTTAGAATTACTGAACACTTCACCAGCAAATTATCCGCTGGACGAAGTAACATCAACAGAAGAAACGAAATTCCGATATCGTTTCTTGGATTTAAGAACAAAGCGAATGCAGCGAGCGCTCAGGTCCTTTTCTGAATTTTGGTTCTTAAAAGAACTGGCTATATCTAAGTTAAATAGGTAATTTGATTTACGAATTGTTTTCAAGGCTAAGAGCAAATGTCGTCCATGGAATGCGAAAGTATTTGGTCGAAAAAGCAAACTTTATTGAGGTAGTTTTTCCAAGTTCTCAGCGCTTTTTTCGTACTTTTCCTTTTTTATATGAAGATTTCATTGAAGTCAGATGAAGACTGATAAATTTTGAAATACTGTTTAGCTCTGTGATGTACATTCCAAGGTGTTGATATTTTTCATACCTGCAGCGATGATTCTCTGAATTTCTGCATTTATAGTAGTGATTAGGATATCTAAGAAAAATGTCCCTTGAAGGCAGTAGAACTTGCATCTGCTCATGTTTAAACTCAAACAAAAACGTGTTTGAAGATATTCGATCTTATTTCATGTCTGAATGAATAGGTTTTCACGGAAACTTTTTGTTTGTATTAAGATCTTGATTTAATACGAAAACTTTTCTTATTTTGAGCTATCTCTGAGAAATATATTTTAACTGATACAGGTTGAAACACCAACTCTGTTTCGACGAACTCCGGGTGGTTCACATGAGTTCATTGTTCCTGCACCAAAACCAAATCTCGGAAAGTTTTACTCTTTGCCTCAAAGCCCTCAACAATTTAAGCAGTTACTGATGTGTGGTGGTATTGACAGGTACTTTCAGGTAAATGGAATAAAGCAGTATGTAATTTAGCTGCGGAGTCCAATAAAAACATTTTGTAATCATTACTTGAAAAACCGTATATATAAAATAATATAATATACTTTTTGATAGAAGCCTGGAGTTAACAAATTTCGGGGATGTATTAAATTATTTGCCAAATAGCTGCTTGGAAGCGGACTTTCAATAAATGTTTTAATGGAAAACTTATTCGAATTTGAAGTCCTTAACTGTACTAATTTCTGATTTTTTGAAGATTGCTCGGTGCTATCGTGATGAAGGTGCAAAGTCAGATCGACAACCTGAATTCACACAAGTTGACGTCGAATTATCTTTCACTGATCAAGATAATGTTATGAAACTGATAGAGAGTATTATTGTGGAATCATGGCCTAAAGAACTGGTGTGTGTTTAGAATTAAAGTTCATTGCCCAATTTCTGCGACTGAATGGGATTTCAATCTTTGCATATCAGAGCAGAATTTCAAAATACGTAAGTAATCATAACTGGAATTTCAGGATGACTTGAAACCTTCAGCACCATTTAAGCGGATAAAATATCTGAAGGCTGAACGTTTATTTGGTACGGACAAGCCAGATTTGCGTATTCCATGGACTATTGAGGATTGCACTTCCGAACTTTCATTCCTACGAAGGCGTGAAATTCCAAATTTCGTTGTGAAAATTTTCATTGCTAGAAGTGCAGAAAATGTTGTTAATGAGAAAAGTTTAAATGAATGGACTCGAATTTTGCGAGACAATGTATTATCACAGGTTTGCAGTATTGTCGATATTATGCCTTTTCAACGTGCAGTGTTTAGCTGCACCCGTATTTTTTTCCAGTTTCAACATTCTGATTAAAAAATTTGACATCGAAAAAAAGTCATTGCTGTCATATCGTCAATTTCTACCACCAATTTCTTTTTCTTTATTTTTGATTATGTATAATAAATGTTCTTTATTGCAACTTCCTAAAACAGTGAAATTTCAGAATTCTAAATTTCTGAAAATGTCGGAAAAGAATTGGTTCGTAGAAATTCGAGATGACGTTCTGATAGAAAAATTTGGCATCAAAGAAAAAGATGTTGCCGTCATATCGTGAGTTATTTTGATTTTTATGCTAAATTCTTGTTCATTAAGCCACTGTTGCACAAAAATTTTATTAGTTGGTGAACGATTAAAAATCAGTATGGTTTATTCTGCGACGAATATCATTGTCATCAAACGAATGATTTTACTATAAGTAACGGTACTCAAGAGGGAAAACACTACTGATATAGTAAAAATCGCATAATTACTACGTAAAAAGTATATTTGGTTATCTCATGCTTCATTTCGTAATGTGAGGCAGTTAACAATATAATTAAGTTCCCTTTAAAAAAATAAAACTAAATGGTTTTGTTTATGTGGGGTGATGATGCTGGCGTAAAATGGACACTTGGTCAACTACGACACTTGGTCGGTGAAGCGATGCATCTACGAGCCGAGCAACGTATGGAATTTGTTTGGATAACACATTTTCCATTGTTCTCAGTTAATGCGGAAGGTCGTCTACAAAGTGCTCATCATCCTTTTACTGCTCCTATACCGGATGATATGCCACTGCTTTACGATCCAAACAAACTTCTTTCGATTACCGGTTTCTTTTTTATTCGATAGCGTAATTGTAAAAAGTGGAGTTAATTAGTGGTTGAATACAAATTTAACGAGAAATTTCTTGCAAAATGTTGCAGTGGAAATATGCATTGTATTTGTTATAAGAGGAGCGTTAAAATTATAGTTCCCTTCTCTTCTTTTTGGATACGATGAGTGGTGGGAAAGGAGTGTTGCAGGTCAGCATTATGATTTGGTGTTAAATGGTGTTGAGCTGGGTGGTGGTTCAATTCGAATTCATAATGAGGATGTTCAGCGACATGTGTTATCTACGATACTTGGCGAACCATCAGAAGAACTGGTATATTCTGTAAAGCACTTTTTTTTTTTATTTTAATACATTTGGTATTTACATATCATACAATATTATGGGTTTACTTTTTGTGTGTATATGTGACTGTGTATGTACATTCATGTGTGTTCAGTTCTACACGTATGAATGATCGTGCAGATTTTCATTTCCATAGATATCCTGACGTTAACATCATCGTTTATTACAATACCTTGATTATAGTTTTTAATATTTATTTATGTTCAGGAGCATATGCTAAAAGCATTATCTTACGGTGCTCCACCTCATGGTGGTTTTGCAATTGGTCTTGATCGATATGTGGCTTTACTGGTTGGACGAGGAGACTCAAGTGTACCAATCCGAGATGTTATCGCTTTTCCGAAAAGCAAGGAAGGTAACGATCTCATGACTAGATGTCCTGTTGAAACTACTTCATCACAGCTAAGCAGGTGTGAATATCATTAAATTTCAATTGATTCCAAGTATGCCTGATTTTTGAAATAGAACATGGCAAAATTCAGTCAATTCGCATAAGGAGATCTCGTCTTTTAGCACATTGTGGAAAGATGCTGTTCTAATGATATGCTCCACGCAGCAAATCAACACAGTAAGATGTACAAAGTAATATGATATAAGGAGCATTTTCGATAATCCAATCATTTATTATAAACATTTACATATTTACATATTCAGGTATGGTATCTCTTTGTCGGTAGCGAATGATATAAAGGCAGCAGGTGACAAAATTCCAGGCGAAGAAGACGGCAAAATTCAATCATCAACTCGTTAACGATTTTTTTTTTCTTTTTTTTGTTAAATTTTTGCTGTTACGTCTGTAAGATATGTAATAATGGTACAACTGTTTTAGAAATATTCAGTTTTAACTGAAGCATGAATGGCTGGTTATTAGTAAAGCAAAATTAACGACAACTAATATTTCAGTATCTAAAATATTGTGATTTCTTCCACCATAAAGACTTATGACAATAAATTTTATGTTTATAAAATATAAATACTAAACAGACGATCCAGCGAACTGATGGGCACAGGTTGGTTGAAAGAGTTGCATAACTGGTTTAGTCGTGATTTTTCCTGAAATTCAAATAATGCATAAATAATTGTGTTGGATCTGTTAAAAATTTCCCAGACCGTCTAAGTGTTGTGATGATTATTCAGAATTAAAATTCCAAAGATTTTAAATTTTGGTTTTGCTTCCTGACTTATTCGTTTTAATGGAATTTATTCAGGGGACTGTTATGTTGAGACATAAAGTTTTGCGGCTTTGACTGGATTAGAAAATACATAAGTTAACTTCGAAATATCTCTTGTACTGTTGAGATATTTTGAAATAGAAACTGGATCTGCATGGAATGAATACGCTTTTCGTTCTGCTTCACATTTTTGGTTAGAATAGCATTATGACGAACAATAGTGGTTTAAACCAGTTCTAACTAGCAAAAGAAGTATTTCCACTTATTTTGGGTGAGAGGCAGTGGTGTGGTGGTGTGGTCATTATGTGTACAGGTGGACGTGAATGGACATAACTACGCTTTCAGAAGGTTTGAAGTGGGGTATATAAGCAAGTTCAAAAAGTGTTTCGTAAATCTCATCCCTTCATATTAAATAAATTAGTGAAACTTCAAACTCTAATTCCTCACCAGTTTTCTTCCACTTTAAATAGAACCCTCATTTGATGGTATTTTCATAGAATGCTTAGTCCGATTAATTCTGACTTAATTACTTGACTTTATGAAGCTTTCCTCATAGCAGAGTTGCTTAAACTTTAGTAAGTGGACAAAGCTGTAATAACCTAAGCGTTGGCATTGGGTTTCTTTCGAATACTGCTTGTTGGTATGTGGCATCAAAAAGAGCAAACGACAGTGTCTCAGTAATGTTAGTTTTAGAAAAGATTAAGATTCGAATTTGACATCGTTTTTGATCACTATTATACATATATATACAATTTATAACATGGCTACTTCTTAGTTGGTCATCAAAAGATGGCCACAATCCATAATTATCTCACCTCCAACCGCTGTTTTTTTATTCGATGTTATACTATCAATTCTGCTTTTTACTTCCAAATGTATCTCATTTACTCTTATAAGTATAAAGTTTTGTTATCGGTGAAATGCAACAAAAAGTAGGACCTTTTCTTGTACTTTAAAAAAAAAAAAGTGAAAAGAATGAACAATAAGAAGTTCTCTTTCTAATGCTTGTTGTAATTTGTTGTCGAACTAATTATATGAAATTGCATTTCAATAAAACTTTAGATACCTCCTTATGCAAATATTACATGATCTTTATATGAATTGAAATCGATCAGAAGATTAAGGCAATGAAAAAATGGATGATTTAAAGGTAATATAGTTAAGTAAGCATTAACACTTTTATTTTACAAGCACAGAGTTTGACTTAGTATACGTTTATGACCTTTCTCTTTGTTCATCTCTTCAATGACAGTGTTGTGCAGCACTATCGGTTTTAAGTTACTTTTGGTAATTTTAGTATTGTTCTTTTTGATTTTTTACTTGAAGTATCCATATTTTCAGCCATCGCTCTTTTATTGTATTTATGATAATTTAAAATTTTAGCAAAAGACAAAAAACTGAAGTCAATTTTAGATTTCTATGTCTTTTATCTGCATATATTTTTGTAACTTTTGAGTGCCGAAAACAAATATCTTCGAAATGATTTCTAATTCCTTTTAATATGTACAAATAAAAAAAGCTTGAACTTGGCATTAGGATTGTTCTCTATTAGATTTTGGTTATCTTCAAACGTATTACTGATTCCGAGAACTTGTTCAAATGATATTGTTGATTCTACGGTCCGCTCTTGTCGGGTTAATATTGCAATATCCGCAAATTACTATAAGTCAAAAACTGAACACATCTCGAGTAACGCCTTTAGCCAGGTAATTTTTTTCATGCTAAATTTTTATGTTCTAAATTTGCATGGTTGATAATAAATTAGAGATGTTTGCAATCCAAAAGGTTTATTCATTTTCATGTCATAAGGAGAAATTGCTAAACAAAAAAGGCAAGAAAAAAAATCATCAGATTCTTAGCGAATGAGGTGAAATCGTTGCTTTGTTTAAAATAAATGCAAAATTTGCAGCTTACATACGGATGATCAGGAGACATGCTGTGGTCAGTGCGCGCTGCAGTTGATGGATGATTTGATAAGAAGCATTGGAAAAAGTAAAACGTCAAATTTAATCAACCTTAATTACAATAATTTCCTATTTGCAATGTCCAATGCTACCCTTCTCCAGCATTTCTGCAAGTTCGATTCTTTTCTTGCATTATCTGCATTTCATAGCGAAAAATTGGAGAGATTACTTTAGTTTGTAGGTCAAAATATATTTCTTTTTCTATTACCTTTCTTAATTACACTGTTTTCCCTCCAGATCTAATTTTATGCCTTGAGTTTTAAAATTAGGATTTTGGATTAAAATTTGAAATTCAAGGAACATAAGTTTTTCATTTGTTCTGAAAACTCAACTCTTTCACTAAAATATTTATTTTCCGAAAATTAATATATTTATTTTTAACAAGAATGATTCATTTGGGTTCAATTTGCACTTCAATTTTTCAGTTTATATTTCCGAGAATTAGAAATCTTTTTTGTGCCTACAATGACAGACATTCAAAATAGTAGTTGAGATAAAGTAAGATAACTGCTGAAGTAAATGAGCAGAAAAGCTATTATTTAAAAAAATGAAACGAATTTGATCACAAGTGGGACAGTACAAAGATGCGCCGGGCAGTATTTTAGATTGATTCGCTATTTTTTATTCATTTTCTAATATTTTCATTGTTTATTATTTTTACTCTGAACATTTTGGATTGGATATTTAAGGGAATTTCATCAATTTGAATATTGCTGTTCGATGTGTATTCCCAGTTATTCACGAGAAATTTTAATGGGATACTCCCAAATTATCAATCATATATGTGTTCAAAATTTCAAAGGTATTTATTGCATGATATTGGAAACTGAATTTGAAATATCCTTTTTAATTTTGACACTCTTGATCATCTCTCTGGATCTTTAATGGGACATCTGTAACTCACCCTTTTTTTTTCTAATTAATATATTTTATTAGCTGCCAGATGCAGACTGTTGTTCGAAATTCAAATAGTCATCCTTCTTAATGATGTCCAATACTACCTAATGGTCACTTCTGATATTTTAAAAATGAATTTTAGGGAAATATTATGCTTTGAAAGAAGTAGTAAACGGCTTCCTAGATAATGGTGTTATATTCGATTTTCGCGCTTGATTAAATATTTGTGTATTTTTCAAAATTTTATTACAAATCGTTTTTAAATAATTCCGGAAATATCTCAGATATCAAGGAAAATTTTGGATGCTTGGCTGGATTGGATTCAGAAATAAGGCCACTTTGTATGCGTACTTGCACGCCGCATCAGGAAGCGTTTCATTCTATAGCTCGGAATTTCCAGCATTTTATTCTCAATAGTGATGTAACCATCCTCGAAAATTACCTAAATGAGTCATGCGAGTAGGTGATTTAATGATTACTTAAATTTATTAATGCAACATTCTTGACTAAACGTGAGAAATTAGTATAAAGTCAAGAGGTCAGAATCGGGGATTCACTGCACGGGCAAGTACTTTTGTGTGTGGCTATGTCATCAAAACAAACGTATTGCACTGAATGCCGTGACAATTTGGTTTGTTAATATTCGATTTGATAAACCTAAGTTACTGAATGATGGAGGCCAATGAGTCACTTAATTTAGACATGTCCTTTGTTCCTTGCACTGCGATGTTCCATTAATTACGCACAATTGCGGTTATAAAGTAGTTGAAAAAGTAATTGCATTAACGAGGCGATCCTTCAAATCCATGAAGAAAATGTCGCTTGACACGGCAGTTGTTAACAGGTCTGTTTAATTTTCTGATGATAGCAAATTAGATTTGAATAATGAGAATTTCTGGATTAGAATTCAAACTTTCAAAGGTTGTTAATCAAGCCTGGTTAACCATACTTTACTTCAAACATTATTTGGAATAAAGTATAGTCAACCATTGTTTGGAGTAAAGTATGATTGCTTTTCAAGTATTATCGGAAATTTTTAAAGCCAAAATCTGAAAAAATTTTATAGAACAAAGTGATTTTAGAAGGAAATATTATTTTATCAGACCTAATTTATTTGTCTATTAATAGAATTACGAAATATCCTTGCAAAATCTATAGGTGAAAGAAAACACCAGAAATAGTAATTTCAGGTGGCCCCAGGCGTGTGCCGAAATAATTACTTATAGGATACCTGGACAAAATTCAACAGTCATGCAGCAAACTAATTTGGGTATCACAATTCAGCCTCAACAGATGAAGCAAATTAAAACGAATGGTCAACGAAGTCAAAAATTGATTAAATTGATGTCATCATTATTATTATTATTATTAATTTATTTTACATTGGAATGAAATCGTCATAAATCTAACATTTATTTCAAAAAATCGCAAAATTGATAATTTTGTTATTTAATTCTTAATTATAATAATTCGGAATACAATATCAATCAATTAATCCGCATGCATCAATTATTTAATTAATTAGTTGGTTTATATCCTGTCAATAACTTTTATATAAAAGCACGTTACTATATGGAGAAATAACGAGTTCAATGGTACATTATTAACTACTTTCCGTTGACATTTCATTCAGTCTTAACAGTTTGAATTTATGGCTTTCTCTAAAAATATCGCTGAAAACTAGAAAATGAAAACTAGAAAACATCAAGATTTATGACTTTTTTCAAACTTTCGGAATCCTTGAATCACCGCTACAAAATATCTTTTATTAGGAGAATTTACTTTTAGTTTGTTTAATCTAGTCTTTTCAATATTTGGAAATTGTGCTCTATTTAATGCATTTAAATGTCACGAATTACATCATAAAGAGATGACCACTTGGACATTTAATGCACTCAAGATATAATTAATTAATTGCCGTAATAAGCTTATGAGAAACAGTTTCTCTTATCATTTATTACTATGAATGAACATGAGAAAATATTTTTTTTTTGCAATCTGTTGATCTTAAATTAGAATTAAAATATGAAAGAGCACATTGGAAAGGACACATTTTCTTCTCAAATAGCAATTAACTTGCCGATAATGCTATGGTCAATACAATTTCATTTATGAGTTTTCAAAAGAGTAAACAGGTGTTATTGATGTGAAACTCATGCTGATTTGCATTTTCTTTCTTGAAAGCTATATGAAGATGAAATGAACGAAGTTGCTTGGCGGAATAAAAAAATCGAAGACGATGGGAAAAAAATGACTTCAATTCGAAATTTCGAATTAATTTCTTTTTCTATTCTGAATTGGAATTAATAAGCTTGAATAATGTCACCAGCAAGGAAGACAATGAATTTATGAGGTAATAAAACCAATATTGGTGCTTGACAGAAAGTTGACACAAATTTAACATTTCTAATGTTGTCATCCTACTAATGACAATGTCAAACAAGTCTACCAAAGTTTCGTTTACAATAATCGCTTTTCCATTCACACTTAAAATTCCAAAAATCCGTACAATTGCAAAATCGCTGAAATCTTTAACATTTCCAATTTCACTCATTTCGTGGACATTTTCATCTTATCTAACAATTTAAATTGATTGCTAGGAATAATGGATGAAGACGAGAAGAATGTAGAAAATACAATATTTTGTGATACAATGATGGCAGCATAATTTACCATCGCAGTAAATTGCAATCAAAATTTAATTACCAAAAAAATGTGCTTGAAAGTCAACGCACACAAAGATAATTGGTAATTTTGATTTATCCTTGAAACTGATAAAGCAAGAATGAAAGCCACCATTAGAATGTGTCACATAAAATTACTCATGTATGTCGCCATTTCTGGGAAAGAAAAATTTAGTTTGATTGCTAAGTTTCCATCTCTTGTCCTGTAATACGAGTCATCTTCTAGTTTTCAAGGTTGTTAGATTTGTAAATTTAAAGAATGATATTATTTACGTTATGCTTATTTGTATATTGACGCATTCTGTTGATAATTACTCTTTTGCATAGGATATCAGTGAAATATTCTTATTTTATGGAAAATCAAATCAGATATTTAATATTTAAAAATAATTTGTAAATATTTCAAAATTCTCTCAAACTCGAAATGTTGAATTATAAATTTCAAATATTTGTTTAATTACTGAAGAAGTTCAGGTTATTTTTTAAGTTTTTTACTCGCAAAATTATAAGCTGCAGTTTTCGACCTCACGTTAATTACAAATTATGCAATTTCAAATTCTAGTTTACCTAAATTATGTGACATGCGATAAAGTATTTTTGATCCAATACCGAGTGCAACATTTCAATTCGTTTATTTGCATAAATACGAATTAACTCAACTGTATCCCCTCAGAAATACAGGTGTAGAGATTTAGCGTTAGTAGTGTAAGTAGCAGTTGCAGTAGTAATAGTATGGCTTTGAAAGTTTAGTTTAGACGAAGGACACGAATTCCACCGTCCATTTGAGAATTGAATTTTGTAAGCTCTCATCCTTTTCAACGCCTCTTGTAAGCAACTACTAGTCGTGTTTTGATATATATATGTTTGAACTGAGCAGATCTTAAAGATCTAAAATTTCTTAAATTTCTTTTTTGGCTAATACAAATGAACAAATTACATCATCATTCCAAACTTTCTGAAAATCTGGAACTTTTAATTCCCCATTATTGAATTACTTCATGCTAACTATGGTAGAAAACTATTATTTTGCCTATCAGTGAAATAAAAAATTTCACAACTTTCAATTTTCATTTTTCTTTATTTCAGGTAACAAATAAAATTCTCTTTAGAGTGGAATAGTTTAGATTTATTTATTGTGTACAGTCATTTTCGAAAATGTAATATGTTTTCGTTATTATTATTACTGAAATAATTATCAGGTATGAATTCCGGAATCACGACTCACTGTTTGTTGTATCTTCTTCTTGGTGTCCTGAAAATTTCCGTTGAAACGGTTTGTTTTATTTCTTATATTGATTTGTTCCTTTCAATACTTGACACTTTCAGTCAAAGATTATTAGTTTTGCTTTTCAGTTAGTCATTGAAACAGAATAAAAGGGACAGACAGACGTACTTTCGACCCTCATAAAAGATTTTGTTATATTTGAAACTGTGATTTTTCATGAAAAGAATACTTAAGGATGTACCTTTCTCACCCGTCTATTCATTATAATGCGTGAGATACGCCACTATTGAGCTGACCTGGAAATGGAAGCGGAATATTTTCAGTCTAATGCTGGCAATTTGATATCTTTTTTTTTTTTCATTTACCAAGGATTTAACATAACTAGAATTCAAAAACTGTATGACACTTTTCTGGTTTTGCATCAGCACCAGTGTTGAACAAGGTGAAGTATGAAAAATGCGTTATCATTAATTAAACTTTAAAACATTAACATAAAACAAAAAGTTAAAGTTTACCAAAGTAAAAAGTTTTTAATGAAAAATTTGACTGAAAAAGATATCTTTGAGCTTGCAGCAGACCAAAATCTCTACTATAGATTAATGAATGATTCAAATACTGGTAAATGACACAAATACTAATGAATAATTAAATGTCTCAAATGATCAGTAGAGAAGTATTTCAAAATCGCTTTAGTTACTCAATAAATTAGCGGTTTGTTTTCTCGACGACTTGTTATTTTCGTGAAGTGAATGTTTATTTGTTTAACCTGAAATGAGGTCGTGATTAAGTCAACGGAAAGTGTATTTATACAACACGATAATATTGAATGGAGTTGATAGAACCACAATGGCATTAAACTTTTTGAATTTCAAATTACACGAATTTTGTAGTGCTCAAAGATGCAATGCAATTGATTTCTCAAATGTTCTGATCTGCATGTCAAAGAAATTTTATAATTGAAAACTTTTCCAGAAAACAATTAAATTTTAAAGATAATTAGAGATAGTTAGACTATTAGAAAAGATAATTAGAAAGACAATTAGACTTTTTCTTTTTCATATTTTGAATCGAATTATGTTCAAATTTTTCAGTTAATTGTTTAATAGCGAAGAAATTTAAAGATTTTGAGAAACCCAAAACTTTTCATAGCTCAAATTTTTCATAAAATTGGCTCTGAAAACTTTCAAAAATTGATTCGAAAAAAGGTCAAATTAACTATTATTCTAAGATAATTTTTGCAGCTAACGATGTAAATTAATTTTAACTTTAGCTTCCATTCTTAGTTATCACTGTTTGTAGAACGCGACAAAATTCATCAGTAGGGCAAAGCGACAGTGCTGCGTGGAAATGGCTGCATGCTGTAGACTGCCACAACAACAACAACAACCGGTACCAGTGGTCCCATTGCAACCAATACTACCTGTGATGCAACATGCAAAACAATGCAATTGTGTTAACCTGCTAGCACAAGTTTGCTCTTCATCAATATCATTCCTTTTATTATACCGTAATAAACCACTAATATGGTAGTAAATTCAGAATTAATTTCCTAAATATCAAATCATACATTTGACAGTTTATATTGAAGTGGCACAGAACAAAATTAAACAATAAAGTTATTAAGTTAATGAATTAAGTGCCCAAATATTGGTAACTTCAGCAAATAGAATATACGATCACAATTAATTTTAGCGCTCCTTGCCGAATTTTCTTCAGAGAAATTCCCAGTTACAGGTGCAATCATGTGACTGTGCAAACATCCAGCTAAACCAGTGTAGTTGCACGCCGATTACACCCTCAAATTGCAATTGTGCTGCATTGCAAGAACAGTATGCAAGTTGTGGATGTGGACCACTTAATTATAATGTAATTACAATGTTTTGTCTTACCTTTTTATTCAGTTTAAATGAGTAAATTGTGTAAGTAAAGGAATTTTGCTTACCATCCTTCTGAAGATGTTGATTGTTGTATTATAATCTTTGTAAGTTAGAATTTGCGAATTTCACTGATCTAATCTTATATCTTCTGACTTTCCACTGATAGAACACTATCAGTGTTTAAGATAAATGAACTCTTTTGATTTTGATTATCGTTTTCTTTATACACTGTATTTTTAACCCATTATTGTGTTGATAATGCAAAAAACTGTTACCATTAAACATAGTGAAGTAATGAGAGTTACAAATTTTGATTACTATAACAGTTAACATTTTAATTACAGGTAACTTGCGGCTGCTCGCAGCAAAGGATACATTGTGTGCCTGCATGCATGCCAGACTGTTCACAGCGATGTCTTGATCAACAACTGACCATCTTTAGTAGCCAGTATCAACAACAACAGCGACAAGTGAAGGTAATACAGAGAAAGGTAGCCAATCATTTATTCCACGCGATGGACAGATCCGGGATCTGTAATAATAGTATTTTTATTGAGCCAGGAACAGAATGATATAAGGGAAAAAATGGACAGTGGTCCCTTTACAATAATTCTTACTCGAATTGGTTGCAGTGCATTGCATTCTGCATGCCGTTGTGCGAGCCGCAGTGCGTGAAAATGTTCGAGCCAAGTCAGATGCAATCTCATTTGCAGCCTGTAATACTCCAGTCGCAATCCCAATCACCAGTTTTTGCCATACAGCCTGAACTTCCCTATTTCTCCCAAGCTAAACAAGAGCCATCAATTGTTATAATGCCCCCGCAAGGTCAATCTTTTCTGCCCCTCTTATTACAGCCTTGTCCATCACCAAACTGTGCAACCAACTGTCCACCTCAATGCAACACCCGAAATTGCTGTCAAATATGTCACAACTTGCCATCCTGCAGTCAGTCCATCACTGTTTCACAAAACCGGCAGTCGGTTCCGGTACAACTGCAGCAACCCCAATGCGTAGCAATCTGCATGCCATCCTGTGAACCACAGTGCGTTCAGCAAGCTTGTTCGGCTGCTTGTCAGCCGATGTGTGAATTACAGTGCATGCAGAAAGTACGAGCTCAAGTAATACTCCTTGCACAGCAACAGTCACAGTCACCGCAATTTCCACCTCAACCAAAACTATTTCACCTCCCAGCTCAACCAGTACAATCATCGGTGCAAGCACTACGACCACCACCGCTGCCTCAGATACATTGTGTACAGCAATGTATGCCTCAGTGCTTGCAAGAGTGTGTACAGGAAGCTTGTGTTGTTGCATGCAGGCCTGCTTGTTTACCAGAATGCATGGAGCAACACAGGAAAGTATTCTTTGTCACGCAGCAACAACAACAACAACAAGAATGTGCACCACAGTGTCAACCTGAATGTCAACCGACATGTATAGAGAAAGCTTGCGTATTAGCTTGTCAACCAATGTGTGATCCCCAGTGCACACAGCAACAGAAACCCCTCTTGGTAACAACCGAACCACATCGGACGGAAATACCACCTCCTACAGTGTGTTTGCCGTCATGCATGCCAGCTTGTCTGCCAGAATGCTTGCAAGAACAGCAACAGATGCAGCCAAGCCAATTCCTTCAGCATTGTCCACCAGTATGTCAGCCTTCCTGCAACCGGCAATGTATGGAACAACAACATATCTGCTCCAAAACCTGCTTACCATCATGCCAATCATCCTGCAATAAGAATGCACGCTGTGTGCAAGAATGTATTGCAAGTTGTGAACTTTCTTGCATGGATTTTACTAAACCAGTTCCACAAGCAATATCTCCAATTAAACAGTACTCACCGGAACAAAAATGCGGCGTAGATTGTAAGGTATGAATTCTCCTACTAGACAATTACTTTCCTCAATTGTTAATCTTCTCACTATTTATAATTTCATTTGTTCAATATTGGCAGTTAAACATGTTTATTGCAGGCTATGGAACCATTCCGCTGTATACCACAATGTCAGCCAACATGCATGAAATCCTGCATCGAGCAGCAAACATCCGGTCGATACCAACAACTTCAACCTTTAAGGGATTGCCCTCAACAACAACCTATGGAATGTTCATGCATGATCGGATATATGCCTTGCTCTCAAAACAATTGTTGCTTGATGCGACGACGTTATGTCTCGCAAAAACAATAGTTCAACATGCATCGCGTGCTGCAGTTCAAGTAATTGAGTATCTGTGGAAGGAATTTATCTCATCAGACCACGTTTGCATTGGTTCAGTTAGTAGTTTGAAATTTTTAAATTAATTCATATAACTTTTGCAATGTCTAATTCCATGGAATTATCCGAAAATTTGCTTATCAATAATAAAATTATTTTTAAATTGTTGATGTTTTCATATAAATTCTGTTTCATTCTTAATTCTGTATTGCATTAATTTTTCCAAGACCAGACCTGTCTCTGCGTGCTTTTTCACTTCATTTTATCATTTTTTGCAATGTTATTTAAATTGCTTTTCCTCTTCTTCTAAATATGAAATGAATGAAAATTTTTATTATTGATAAGTGAAAGTTATGGTGGAGGCAAATCTCTACATAATTTTTTCTTAGTATTTTGAGATATGTTACTTTTATCCTCTAATGTCTTGAGATACCTTTTAATGTCACGTACCTAAAGCTTCTGCTACGTGTGGTACTTAAGGTTCTTTCCTATTTCTCCGGGTTTCTGCGATGATTTTTGTTGTGAATTCCAGCGAACAATGTGTGTGAATTAAATGTGTGCGATATAAAGAATTACACTTTATTCATTTTCACGAAATTTTGAATCCATACATACACATAGAATATTTGCTGTTATTTCCTTCTTTTTCCCAATATTACAGAAGGTCAACCCAATTTTTATTTAAATTCTCTTCAATTCTGTAGTATTTTGACAATTGCAAATCACAATAATAATTCCAATAAAACTTTAAGATTTAGAAATATGGGATTTGGACAGGTAGTGCAAAACAGGTAATTGAAAAGACTGTAACGAATTGCATAATTTTTTCTAAGCTATAGGCAGGTAATGTCTAGACTGTTCCTGGGTATTTTAAGTTTCAAAATTAGTTTCAAATAATTTTACTACTTTTTAAAGCTGAGAATTTTTAATTCAGAAATAGTTATGGAAAAAAAGAAGGCGATTCATTATTAAAATCAATCGCATAAATAACTGAAGTAAATTCAATCTTTTAATAAAGCGAACTTCTTCAAAATTATTGGTCGAGAGTTTAGATTTCGGGGTGATTTTCCCGATTACATGAAAATATCGATTTTACAAAGGTAAAGCAAATCTGCACATGAAAATTTTAATTTATAAGATTTTCATAGTTTGCAATTGAAATGATTTGAATGAAATATTCGACGATATTTCATTGTATTATTAGGTCAACCTGAATCTGCACTTGCAGATAAAGTTGTTAACAGAAAAAATAATCGAAAATATAAACAAACATGTCACTATTATTTCTTACGTAATTTTTTTCACAAATTTAATAAAATATTCGAACGAAGCTGAAAATAAGGATGATAGTAACTCAATTCATCTGCTGTTCGTGTCTCTTTTGTCAACTTGTGTCATATGAAAATGTAGGATTAGATCCGTTTAAGACTTTAAGGTGAAAACTTTGATTTCCAATATACTGAGTATTGTCTGCAGAATTAAACACAATTAGAAAAATTGGGCAAAATTGCGCAAATTTATAATAAAGCTTAGTGGTTAGATAAACAAGGTTAGAAAGTGCTTTGATAAATTATCTTCCAACTTCTATTCCTCAGGTATAATTAGTTAATTTGGATGAGAAGTTTGGTAATTTAAATCAAATATAGAAGGTAATTAGTTAATTTGGATGAGAAGTTTGATAATTTAAATCAAATATAGAAGGAGGAAGAATAAAAAGATAGTGGAAAGTAACCGGGAATGTTTTGATCAGTCATGTCTTTTTTAGAAATCGATTTTAGAATGCCGATTTTGTGATAACTGGAAAATGTTTCTCATGTACAGTACCGTTGGTCATCATCGGTGGTATGGTACCATTCCAAACAAATGGACGAAAATGTCGAGTTTTTCGACGATCATAGCAACGTTTCAGTCGAGTACAGTTCAAATAGATGACAACTGCAAGGAGAAAGACCTGAAAAAGAAAACAATTCTAGGCACAATCATTTTTCTTTCATTCATACTGTTTTTTTCCTTTCATAAAAGTTTGCATTACTAAAGAAGTATTATTTGATTGATTTTAGACCACTGACCAATAAGACGATCAGAATTATCGGTATAATAACAAATGCCATTCTGGTCATTTGTTTCTGCTCATTGGAAACTATATTTTCCATAAAACCATGTTCAAACTGAGCAGCACTTAAATGAAATATCTGAAATGGATTCTAAAATTTTTAAAGAAAAAGAATTCCAATTAAAATTCCTGAAAACTACCAATATAATACCAGATATAAGCCATGTAAAATTAAGCACAACAAATGTCTAATTCAAAACTAAAAATCGTTTGACAAGTAAGTATGTGCTCAAACAATTGAAGACTTCACTTCCATGATAATTTATCTTTCTGTAATGAATATTGTGGACGACTCTTACCGTACATCTACCACTTTGATCATGAATTGATATCAATTTGTTCCTTTGCAATACAGTATGTGTGTTTTATGGTATTAATCAGATCCGGCTTGTGAAATATACCTCATAATGGCTACTGTATGTGGTCCAAGGTGGTGCTATAATAAGCTTATACTGGTTACCGTACATAGTCTACAATGGTACCTTAAGTAGTTGCTACATCAAAATGCGCCTAAAAAGGATACTTCATGGTATATTGGATTGTGTATTATCACATTATACTATCATTTTCAACACTTACCGATTGCCCAGTGCTTCTAGTCCAATTTATGGCGAAAGGATTTTTAATTCTGGAATTATTGAATGCACAAATGCGTAAACCATATTGATAAGTTAATGGATCAATGGTTTGATTTGTGTAGAACGAATATGGAGTTGTTAGAAATAGTCCATTTTGTAAAACTTTCTACAAATTGAATTTTAAAATGGATTAACAATCAAATATAATAACTGAAACACTTAAGTAAAGAAAGTCCAAAAAGAAAATTTAGTTTTTTTACAAAATAAATTTGAATTTGAAATGTTTTGAAAAGTAAAGTATTGAACACTAACATTAGTTCGAATGATCACTTTACTGCTCTTTTCATTCCTTTCATCAAAAAATGCTCTACTGGATGAAGTTCGTCCTTTCACATGTCCAAATTCCAGAAATATTCGATCATAATCGGTATGCATTTTGATTTCATTGTAAATCTGTATGTAATTATCTATGAATTTTTTTAAAAACTGTTTGAAAAAAATATATATTTTACGGAAGTTTTTTGCTATCAAAGAGAGTAGAAAGACATCCCATATTAGTCAGGCTGTTTTTTTGTTAATTAGCCAAGCTATTTCTTTCAGTAAATCCATGAAAACTGTTTACAGGGTCGTTTATATATCAACATTTTATCAAGACAAAAAGCCAAGAGAAGGAGCTGTCCTATAAAAAATCTGAATTTCGTTGCTGAGGAAGGAAATTCTATGAAAGTTTCCAACTAATTAATTGAATAAAGACGTTCCTATGCTTCCTTTAATGGAAATTTTAAAACCAAACGATTGCCCCAAACCTTTTTGCTTCGGATCTGTAATATATGTATCCATGGATTCCAAATGGCTTTCACATCAGTCGTTAGGAGGCATACGAAGGGTGGCCTATGATTGGACACTGATAGACATGCACCGTTATCCATTAGGACACTAGTGCCTTGAGGACAATTGCATCTTGAAAGACAAATTGGTGAAATCAATTTTTTGTCACAAATTTTCAACTTTTCAATTTTTTGTCACAAATTTTCAACTTCTTTTGAAACTTTTGGCTCGTTTCCAGATTTAAACATTTATTAGTTTTTATGATTGTTCACATTTAAAATGAAAAAAAACCGATGAAATTAAGAGAATCTTTTATTTTAATGTCGTGAAAATTTAGCTGTGTAAGTATAAAACAGAAATTATTTTTTCCGTTCAAGAATTTTCTCGAAAGCTAATGTTAAGGCCAAAGATTTTGTAACTATTACTTCCCAGTTTGCTTATCATTCTACCAAAACAAAATTCAGTTATCATATCATCTTTGTCATATCTATCGTATTTAATCATTTCTGAGCTAAGAAAAAATCACATGAATCATGTAATCATGCAATCAGAATCATTGCTAGATTAAAGGAGTAGATTGATTACTTTAAAAAATCAAACATATTGATTGTTTAAAAGAAACTTCAAGTTTCAAACGACTTCAGAAATGATTACTAGGTAATTCAGGTAATAGTATAAATCAAGAAGTGCTAGTGTTAATGACACTGATATAGCGAGAAACTTCCATAAACACTCACTTGGTCTGATCGATGCAACCAAATTCGCAGATGACACCATTGAAAAGAGTACATGAATTTGGATCGGGCTGCAATTTCGCCTTTTTTGGTGCTGTTACAATTCGAGATAGTTGAACAGATGTTGACACTCTAAAATACTCAAATCTGAGAAAGGTAAGGCGCAGAAATCCATTCAATGCTTAGGAAACTGATCCGGCTGACCTGCAGTAGCAGATTTTCTAAAGAATCAGAAAGTAGAAAAAGCACACTTACTCATTTTCCCTTTCTGAATTTGAGGTGATGGGAGCGGTTTGAACTTTATTTAAAGTATTATTATTCAGCGCTATCTTTTGCTTTGTTCTGCTTACATTGACAGAAGGCTGTTCTATCAGCTGTTTTGTGGTCTGAGTTTCCGGTAGTTTCCTGAGTTTTGTACATTAAAGAGAAAATTACATTTCATTATGAACTTGAGCATAATAATTTCTAAAAAACAAAACGGACAAAATAAAAAGATAAAAGCAATTTTAGGAATTCAGATGAAGACGATAATTTGAACTAAACATGATGAATTCACAGTATTCGGTGTTACTATTCAACAAAACTAAAACTCACAAAGACGCTTCCATTTTAGCTGCCGATTTTGTTGATTGCTGTGAAATTGAAGCCTCCAAATTTTTCCCAATAGGCTGAAAGTTAATTTTCAAACCTTCAAACTTTCAAAAGTTTCAAAATTAAATACTGAAGGCGTAAAAATTGAGATAGTCTCCAAACTAAACCGGAATGGGTTGTCTGTTGATAACATCAGTTCTTGTTCTCTCAAGTGGTAAATCGATGAAAACATCTGATGGTAGCACCGTTAATGGATTTAGTAAAATGTCTTCATCTGAAATTTACAAATAAAATCTAAGCCATAACTGAGTTGAATTTTAAAGTAAAACAGCAACTTGCGGGACGTGCAGAAATAATAAGCGATATCGGTAGTTCCTTGTAAAATTTCTTGTGTTTGGGAAATTTTTGGGAAACTAAAATTTATATTAAGCTTATTATTCGATATTACTTTATTTTATTAACAACAATATTAATATAATAATAATAATAATAATAATAATAATAATANANA